TGTTCCTGCAGCCTGGGGGGCGGGGAGGGGGGGGTGACCCTTCCCTTGTCAGCACAGGGGTGAGAGTCTGCTTGCCACCTCTCCGAGCACGAAGCAAGGGGAGGGTTAGGGGGGCCAGGTGTGGGGCCGGGATTGATTTGGGGTCTCAAGTCATAAGCCCTCAGGTTAATGCTCTGGAAAAACAAGTCCAGCAAGTCAGTCCCTTTGGGTCCAGGCTGACAGCACAGATGCAGCTTTGAGTCCTGACCTCAGATTGAGGCACCCTGGGGGGCCGTGATTGGCCGCCACCAGGTAACTGGAGTGCTCTGTCGCCTTGGCCTACTTTCGTTGCCACTGCACATTCAGCCTCCTCTGTGAGGGAGCGAGTGCTGCGGGCCGGGGCCCAGCCAGGCCGTGGACACAGGCACGGTGACCGAGGTGAGTATGCCTGCCCGGCAGCCTGTGACCGCCTCCACAGGAGCAGGAAGGGCGGACACTTCCCTGCAGGCAGGCAGGGAGCTCGGCGCCTCTCCTCCGCTCTCTGCCGCTTGCAGGGCCCGTCACGGGGTAGCATTTGTGTCTCCTTCCAATCCTAGGACAGCCCATGGTTCAGGTAAGATTGGGGGATTCGAGGGTTTCTTTAGAAGTTCCCTTTGCTAGGCTTGTCAGAAAGTGGGGGAGGCAAAGAGGGCATGTGCTTATGTGGGTAACATTGTGGATCTTAATTTTGAAGGTCCTGTTTAGCCCTAGTCGGTTTGGCTCGGTGGATAGAGCATTGGCCTGGGGACTGAAGGATCCTGGGTTCAATGCGGGTCAAGGGCACATGCCCAGGTTGCAGGCTCAATCCCCAGTAGGGGTTGGCAGCCGATCCATGATTCTCATCATTGATGTTTCTATCTCTCTCTCCCTCTCCCTTCCTCTCTGAAATCAATAAAAATATATTAAAAATAAAATAAAGGTCCTGTTTCAAAGGTTTCTCTCTGGCTTGCAAAAACTCTGTGGGGTTTTTAATTTTGCTTTGTTTATTTGGTTTCCATTTGGAGCTTTTAAAAAAAAAGATTATCATTTAGACATAGTAAAATTCATCCTTTTGTGGGTAGCTCTGTAAGTTTTGACAGATATAGTCACGTAACTGCTACCATAATCAAGATATAGAACAGTTTCATCACAGCAGAAACGTCTGTGTCCCTTCATAGTCACTCCTGCACCCTTCCCTTATGCCTGGCAGTCCCCACTCTGATATCTTTCCCCATAATTTTGCATTTTCTAGAATGTCACATAAATGGAATCACACAGTATGTATCCTCTGAGTCTGGCCCTCTCGGTTAGCAGGGTTCATAGCGATTCATCCGTGCTGTTGCATGTATCCGTACTTGTGCCTGTTTATTGCTGAGTAGTAGTCCTTTGTACCACAGTTTATCCATTCTCTAGTTGAATGACATTTGCTTCAGTTACAGTTTGGGGAAATAACAAAGAAAGCTATTATGAATATTTACATACAGATTTTTGTGTTAACATAGGTTTTATTTCTCTTGGATAAACACTAGGCATGGCATGGCTGGGTCCTAGGTAAATATGTGTTTACGTTTATAAGACACTGCCAAATCATTTTCCAGGGAGATTGTACCATTTTGCATTCCCACCAAGTAGATGTTACATATCCTCCCCAGTGCTTAACGTTGTTAGGTTAAAAGCTTGTTTAGCTGTTCTAATAGGTGTTTAGTGGTATTTCATTGTGGATTTAACTTGTGTTTCCCTAAAGGGTAATGATCTTTGAGTATCTTTCAATGTAATTATCATACTTATATTTTAAAAAGTGTTCAAATCTTTTGTGCATTGAAAGAAAATGGATTTTATTTTTTTTTTTGTTACTGAGTTGTCAGTCTTCTTTATACATTTTTTTGGACAAAAGTTCTTTATCAGTTCTATGACTTTCCCCTGGTCTGTGATTATCTTTTTATTCCCTGAATGGTGTCTTCTGAAGAGCGTAGGTTGTTCATATGGACGTCCAATTGTTTGCCCAGATTTGTTGAAAAGACTCTCCTTTCTCCATGGAATTACCTTTGCCTCTTTGTTACTCTTTCTCAGGATTATTTAAGATATTCTAGTTCCTTTAGCGTCCCATTCAAAAATTTAGAATCAGCTTGTTGATTTCTACAGGGTCCTGCTGGAATTTTTGTTGAGATTGTGTTGAAACTATATAGCACTTAGGGGAGAATGGATATCTTAATGTATTGAGTCTTCCAGTCATGTGGTAGATTTTTAATTAAAACATTTAGACAGTGGAGTTGAGCACCGATCCTTCTCTGGTTGTTTAATAATAAATCCATACGGAAATTAACCCTTAGAGAACAAGTAATTAATGGGATGTGTGTTTGAAAACAGTTCTCGGTGGGGGAAGAATCCTTAGCATCATGAAGGGGGAGGATTCCAATTCCCTCCCTCCCTCCCTTCCTTCCTTCCTTGTTAAATCTCACCAGAGGGTATTTTTTTTCATTGCTTTTTCAAAGAGAGGAGAGTGAAACACATTGATTGGTTGCCTCCTGCATGCACCCCTACTGGGGGCAGGGCCAGAACCCAAGTAAGTGCCCTTGATCAGGAATCAAACTGAGACCCTTTAGTCTAACTACTGGGCAACATCGGCCAGAACGGTTCTTTCTCGCTTCCAAAGGCTTGGTCTAGAACTCTGACAAGGTAGTGGGCTCAGCCTTTGGAAGGAAGAAAAAGGGAAAGTCGGTGAACTTTAAAGAGGGGGCCAGTCTGCTTGGCCGCCAGGTGCCCTTGGTAGGGATGTGCTTTCCCCAGAGCGAGAGACCTCGGATTAGGAAGGGCACTCGCCGCCAAGGACAACTGCAGCCTCACAGGTAGTCCCCTGTGCTCGGGCCTCGTCCAGCCCTTCAGTGCTGCTCCCATGGGAGTGGGTGGCCGGGCGCAGTGTTAACTGAGCCACAGCGAGGGCGTGTCTGCCTCCAGGGTAGCTGCTGGGATCCAACACCGAATATGAAAACGGACTCTACCAGTTTCTCAGGAGCCTGGAAGGAATGCCCACTGGGGATGGTAAAAGTGAGGTAGATCATTTCCCGCTCACTTCAGGATCTTAGGCAGCTTTTATGAATTAAAATACCCGTTTTCAAAAGGTCACGTTAATAAGACTACCAGAGCTTTCAGACTTCCAAGAAACTACAGTGTGAGGGCTGGGATGTGAGGTTTTTAAAAATCATTACATTTTTATTAGCACACTGGAAAAAAATTTGAAAAAATACAGAAGTGAATACAAATAAAATGTTCAGATTCTCCTCGCCTCCCTGCTGCTCACCGTTGCCAGAGGCGACCACAGTGGGAAGGTGTGGTGTGTACTCCAGGCCAATGGCTGTTTTTATACAAAAGCATCTGTGTGAGATTGTTTTATGTGTTTCCGACCTAAAATGGGGATCATATTTTACAAACTATTTTGCAAACTTGGTTTTTTTGGTTTTGATTTTACCTTGTTTATAGATTATGGGTACAATTTTGTCTTAGTTCTTAGAAATCTACCTTTTTCTTTTTTAATGGTTAAATACCCCATGACTCATTTTCCCATTCGCCATGAGGGATGGTTCAGTTGCCTCCAGTATTTCTCTGTGATAAATTCTGCTGTGGACACTCCATACACACATTCTTACTCGCGGGTAAGACTGTCTAAGAGACTGATGGAGAGGAGACAGTCAGCCAGGGTAGGTGCACGCCCGGGCCTGTTGGTGGGGCGGAATTAACTCCTTCAGTGGTGCCTGAGCTCCCTCGCTGCCCCACCTTCACCGGCACATTATTCCTCTGATGGTTCTCACCGTGATAAGCAAGGAGTGTGTTTTGAAATTGGTATTTGCATAATTAGTGAAATTGAGCATCTTGTCGATTAGTGTTAGATATTTGGTCTGCGAGTTGCCAATTTTCTTTCTCGATTTTACTACGTAGAAATTATTGGTGGTGGAAACACTTCATATAAATACTGATAATATTTTGCCAAAGTGATACTCAGAGGAAAGTGTATACCCTTAAATTTATTAGTTAAGAAACGAGAAAGACTAAAACTTAACCAAGAGAAAGTAGCAGGGAGTAATTAATAAAGGTAAAGCCGATCATTTACTTCACATACTTTATGGTATGCACATTACACTTGAGTTAAATAAATAAAAAATGGAAGCAGAATTAATAAAGTGAAAAAACAAAGCGATAGGCTTGATCATTACAATGAAAACTTGTTTCTAGTTTAAAAGATATCTGACAATTCTGATCAAGAAAAGAGAAATAAAAACACATTAGAATAATATAAAGAATATATATATAAGCACAATTCAGACATTTTAAAAAGGAACACTGTGTAAATGTTTTACATTAATATAAGAGTGTGCAGAAGCCTACATATAAATAGTTAAAAACTATACAGTAAATCTTTAAAGTACTTTTCCAAAACACAAATAATAAAAATAATAAGGGAATCGATAGAAATAAATTGTACGTGGTTGGTTACTGTTGCTACCATCCCCTGGGGTGGATGCTCGGGGAGAGTGACGGCACCACAGCGACTGGCTGAGGTGGGGTTCCCCTGGCGTTTCGTTGCTGGTGACCAGGAATGCTAAGCATCTCACACTGTGCAGGACAGCCCTCACAGTGAGAACTTCTCCACCAGACACGCCATCTGTGCCTGTGGATGTGACAAAACCGACAGAAGTAGAAAGCTCCATTGGAATCCAAGAGGCAGAAAGCTCATCCCCCAGACAGGCATCGGGCCAGGTGGTTTTGTGATAGTTCCGTCCAGCGGGGTATTCCTCTGCTGCTTAAATTGCTTCAGATGTGGGGGAAGTCTTCAGAAACCATTGTTCAGGGCCAGCGTCACTGAGAACAGTGCTTCCTGTTTCCTGTAGCCTCGTCATTGATTTCTC